AGAAAGAACTCCATCACCACCTAAAGGGGGCTTGAGGTTCTCTGGCTCAATAGGCGATTTCAGGGAAAAATTCTGTAAAATGGTGGTCAGGAATAAAAACAGCTCCATGCGAGGCAGTCCCTCTCCCACACAAATCCGTTTTCCTGAAAATAACAAACACAGAGGGTAGTTACTCCTTGCTATCACTGTGACTGGGAAAAATACTTTGTAAGTGGCACAAACTGAATACGCAGCTAATGTTTTAAGAATGGTTATATTGATAGGTGGGTAGATGAATGGATGACTTGAAGGATGGATGAATGGATGGATAGATGGATGGATGAATGGATGGATGGCGAGAGGGAGGGAGGGAGGAACGAATGGATGGATGGGACAGTGGTTGGGTAGAAGGATGTTTGAATTGCTGAATCCATCTATGGATAGTTGGATAGACAAATGAACAAAGAATGGACACACTTGCTATGCGCTGAACAGCTAATCTTTTTTCATTATAAAGATGGCGGGGTACAATTCAGGGTTAGATATACAAACATTGATTATGCAGGCACCCTTGTTGATGAGGTATGCCCCTCCCTCCCCTAGCAGTTTCTCTCAACTGCCAATCCCACCATCCTCCCCTGACGGTTTTCCACTACTGCCAGTCCCTTTCTTATAGAATTATGATAATTGTTCAAGGTTCGCTTATGAGTGAGAACATATGGTACTCTCTTCTTTGTTTCTGTGATAGATCACTGGGTATGATCGACTCTAAATCCATCCCAGTTGCTTCAAAGTCCGTATGTTTGTCCTTCGTTATGGCAGCATAATATTCCATTGTGCATATGTACCACATTTTTAAAAAATCCAGTCCAGCTTCGATGGGCAGCATGGTTGGTTCCATGTCTTTGCTACTGTGAAAAGAACTGCAACAAACATACGTGTGCAGGTATCTTTTTTGTAGAATGATTTGAGTTCCTCCGGGTATATTCCCAATAGGGAATATAGCTAGATACTTTCCTAAAGGCAGGTGAGCAATGTCTAAATAGCCTTTAAATTTGAGGAGGCGCTCTCATGTACTTCGATGATGTATCTAGTTGCTGTGTCATATGGAAGGTCAATTTCCAGTTCTTTCAGAAATCGCCACACTGTCTTCCAAAGAGGTTGCACTAGTTTGCATTCCCGCCAGCAGTGTAGAAGCGTTCCTTTTTCTCCCATCCTTGCCAGCATCTGCTGTTGTTTGTTTTATAAATGATGGCCATTCTTACTGTTACTGGGGTTAGGCGGTATCTGAATGTGGTTTTGATTTGCATTTCTCTGATGATGAGTGAATGAACAGCTAATCTTAACGGGCACTCTTCTTTAAACAAATATTCATTGAGAATCATCTCCATGGATGGAACTTCACTAGTGATTCCCACATTATAGTTACTCTTGACATTTTCAGTTTCCCTTTATGCCTTTATTGAGACACTCACACCTTCTTGTGTCTCATGTTCCAAGCCAAATATTTCATAACATTTCCTTCCACTCCTCATGTCTTCTATTTTCAGTTCCAGCCACACATAATCTTCATCGATCTCAAACACACAGTGAAGGTTTAAGTTTTATACCATGCTATTCCTTTGGCCA